CCTTATCCGTCCTCCTTATCCGTCCTCCTTATCCGTCCTCCTTATCCGTCCTCCTTATCCGTCCTCCTTATCCGTCCTCCTTATCCGTCCTCCTTATCCCTCCTCCTTATCCGTCCTCCTTATTCGCCCCTCCTTATCCGTCCTTATCCCTCCTCCTTATCCGTCCTCCTTATCCCTCCTCCTTATCCGTCCTCCTTATCCGTCCTCCTTATCCGTCCTTCTTTATCCGTCCTCCTTATCCGTCCACTTTATCCGTCCTCCTTATCCGTCTTCCTTATCCGTCCTCCTTATCCGTCCTCAAAATATAAGTTAATCCTTCGTCAAAATTTAAGTAGTCCAATGCATGGCCGTCCCAAGCGCGCCCCTGAAGTCAAGCAGCCGTGATGTTGTTGCCTCTCATGTCCAGGCCTGGAACATCGCAAGCTTCATTTGTATGTCATCTTATTCCAACAATTGTTCTTATATTCTTATAACTATTCATACATATTCTTTAAAGAAACAAGTGCAAGACACATATATCAAATTTTCACATTGTACGTCAAATGATTTCTTGATAATTATTATCCATAACTTTGATGATCTCAGAGTTATGCCAAGACGACCAGTGTTCTCATCAGACAACTAAGCGATAGCATCGATAAATTGCACTGAAATATCACATAAACTTGATGCTGAATCGATTTGATATTATACATCAGATTATGCAGGGAGGCTCACCTTTGTTAACCAAAACATAATGCAAATAGAGTTCTGTCGCAATCAACGGCCTCCAGATATCGCTCGCTCGAATCGAAGCCTGCACACAAGGCGGTTGTTGGCTGCACATAGTGGTGCCAAGCGCTGGCATTGAAGGGCAGGACGTTCATGCTGCTGGTCCACTTCCACTCGCCGCTGTCAGGGTAGAACTTCAGGTCGAGCCAAAATGCTGCAACAAACGACGGGATATTCGTTGAGAAGTTGGGAGCTATAAATGCCCGAATGTTGGTCAGCCTGTATGTATGATTTACACTTACTTTTTTTAATTAGATTCTCACATAATCACCATTAAAAAGAATCCCTAGCAAATATTTTCCTTTTATTTCAAATATATAAAGAACCAAACATCAGGAGAGTTAGTCACTGGCTCTTGAGGAAACACTGACAACGGCTTGCATCAAGCACAAGCATCGGTATACCAACTACGCAGATCGACATGACTGGCGCTATTCTTTTTCTACCAGTAAAACAAATTATTTAGCATCATTATTAATAAAACTATTGACAATCTCTATTCCTCTACTTCTAATTCAGCCAATAACAAAATTTAAAATATGACTGACAGTTGCAAAACATGACTCTTGTATACGCTATAGCAGTCAGTCCAATGGCAAGTGTTTTCTGTGCATCCAAACGCCCTTTATGTATACTTCCTATGAATGATAATTAAAAAAAGAAACAGTTCAAGAAACTTTGTTTGCAGTTACATTGTAGGCAAGCAAAAGATGGATGCAATAATAAGCCAACAAATCAAGACAGCAGACTGATGACAGTAGACTTCATAGTCATCCTGCCTAGTTTGGTTCGTGTCCTTTGTTCACTTTAGCAAAAAGGGACAAATGTAAAGAAAATACGCGATGTACGTGCCTAGAACATCAGCCCAACCACAACTCTTGTTCAAGACTCTTTTGTGACGGAATTGAATGGCATGACAATAGAATTGCTTGGAATGATGCATAACTCCTATAATTAGATCCAATCTTGATGATCAGTACGGCTAATCAGACTGGAAATTATTGCTTACGGTAGGCAATTGGGCTAATCCCAGCCAAGCTTTTCAAGTAGATCTCCTCGCCAAAAGATTGCAGTCCGAGCCCCGCACACAAGGCGGTGATGTTGGTCGTGGAGGCAGAAACCGGCGTGGGAAATAGTGACGTACAAGTCTGAAGGATTTTGTCGTAGAACCTGACGTTGTAGTCATCAGTTAAAACTGTTGGTATTAAGCACGCATTAGTGTTTTACAAGGGAAACGTTATCATACAAAGCTTCGCGCCTAAAACTTCTTCATAACTTAACAATAAATCACAAAATTTCAAAGAAAATTTGGCGGCGGGAGCGAAAGTTTATTTCTTCATTGGTGTTTTCCGATGTACAATAATTTTATTATGTAACCTATTAGCTGTAGCACCTCTACGACCGTTGCCAGGTGAGTAATTTCTGAGCGTCCATTTACAGACATGAGGTTTACCGTCTCATTTGAGGTTCATAGACAAGAACATTTGTATACCAGTGAGTGAGTACCATTACTCGTCGACATAGACAAGAACATTTAAATACCAGTGAGTGAATACCACTTACTCGTCGACATTGACAAGAACTTTCGAATACCAGTGAGTGAGTACCACTTACTCGTCGACATAGACAAGAACATTTGAATACCAGCGAGTGAGTACCACTTACTCGTCGACATAAACAAGATGAGATTGCATGGATCGCCTGCAATAGTAAAATTTGCCATTTAAAATGCCTTTAAATTTCTGAAAAAGCGGGAGTAAATGAAAAATTTCATTTAGATATTGAATCCCAAAATAAAGAGGCCAAGTTATCTTGCCGTACCTATATCCTGAATATGATTGCCATTTGTGTTTACATCCTGTGTTTTACTTAAGAAGAATAAGTGACAGCAAATATTTGGGAAATAACTCACCTTAGATCATAATCCAATTCTTACATAAAATAAGGAAGAGTTATAAAAAATATTTTGAATAAACATAGCAACTGTGCAAAGGCCTTTAATTATCGCTCACGGCTCCTACTGAATTCTCACATATAATTTCAATTCATACTCAGGATTCCAATCGAATTCCACAGCAGCTGACTTTTATTCTTGACCTGAGTTTTAGCATAAATATTACCACGCTTTACTTAGAATTTAAAATGATACAAATGAATCAATTGATTGAAACTTTAAATCAGTTATTGCTTTTGCAAAAATTTTCAAGATGAGTAAGTATTTCTCATATTTTATAAAGGAGATTAGTTCCAAAATTAAAGGACACAGAGTATATTTATCATGGGCTGGTCATAATTGTGGCAGCATTACTCGTAAATCAATCAATTAGGCTAAGAAGCGATCACGAATGCAAATTTCCGCTATCCACTCATGATTCCGCACCATAAATTTTACGTCACGTCGCTGGTTAACGTGCATCGTCTTACTCTGAATCACGCCGGCGAATGACAAGTCGCCTCCGGACGAATTAAGCGTGATGTGGTAGGTGAGTGCTGAAGGGTTGATTACCGGGGCCGGTAATTCTGGGCACAAATTTCACGGATTAGAACTTATCTAAAGTAAATGAGTCTAAATAGTTCCTAGAAAATCTCTCCTCAATTCGCTGAAACTCGAAGTAATGGACAAGCATTATTAATGAGATTCTTGACAAAAATCATTCACAATAACTTTGCGTTTTCTTTTCACCTCCCACTGGGATTTGGTACAAGCTGCTGGGCCCCCAAGGCTGCCCCATGAAGAGGCGGGTGAGCACGAAGGTTAAGTTTGGACAAGACCCAGTCACTTCTGTCGCCACCGCATCCCCACTTGACACAACCTTCGTTTGGCCGTCAAACTCGAGCTGGTACGTGATGAAGCACCGACTTTTGCTCTGGTCGTTGAAGGTGACGTTGAAGATCACTTCCGGGTTGTTGTACGTTACGCCGATTCTCAAGTTCGACGCGTTAGGCTCTGTTGGTTGACAAAACTATGTTAATTCGAGGTCAATAAATTGGTTTAACATATATTTCACTTTCCAATTGAATTTAAATTCAGGGTAACTTTTTCATACGATTCCCCCATCTCACCAGCAGGTGCCACCAGCTGTTTGGCGACGTAGATGACGTGGTTCCCCCCAGAGGTGCATGGGGCCCCTACGGGCCAGGGCACGCGGGTGCCCCAACACGCACCGTCACGCAGAGCAAAGGTCGTGTGGTCTGAAATGATGACTCAACTGAATTATTGGGTAGGCGGTTACCATTATTTGATCAGCATCCGAAGCATCACCTTTGGTCTCTATAATCTTAATGATGCATAGTTTGCAAAGAGGTATAAGGCTATTAAAGTACTGTATAACACAGGAGAATTAAACTAATCGAAGGCCCATCGTTCACATCACTTAATAAAAACTATTTAAGGCAGCACTGACTGGTCTTGGCGGCCTGCTCCGCACAGGAGCGCAGGTCGGCCGCGGACACGAGCTTCTCCTCCAGGGTCTTCAGGCAGTCGTTGGTTGCGGCGGTGATGGCGCGACGCGTGTAAGTGACGCCTGACTTCGTCGCCAGGGTCCGAAAGTTGACGTTGACGGACCGCGACGCGCAGGACGACATGCCAGACTTGGTGCCGTGATACTTGACCTGTTTGAGGTAATACTCGTAATTATTTGTTGAGAATAAGCTTGTTAATGCTATTTTTAGATGGCGTTAAAACACAGAAAAGGCGTATTGTTATGTAGATAATGCAGGGATACATCCTACAGTTTTTAGACAACCAACCCAGCAAAATGTTCATACTCACAGCGACAGTGTACTCATCAGCGCCGGTTCCCTGCAGAAAATCAAGTTTCCATATTAAATGATGGATAGATGTAAGTACTGAATAAAATAAAAATTTACTAATTAAAAAATCACTTGTTTGCTTAAATCGTAAGTTAACCAGGGATTTGAAAAAAAGACGATACCATAAAAATTCACCATTTCTTTATAAAAGAAAACGTTTCAGAGTCCAGCTTCATTGCCAGTTTATAACACAACGTTCAGTTTAGAAGAGTTTAGTCCTAGAACCACAAATACAATCAATTAGTAAAGTAAAGTCCACTGTCAGGTATTAAACGGAAACAAGTTAATGAGACATGAAATGAACGCTAGTAAAACGGGCCTATCTATTTACTATTTAAAGAGGAAAGGAGCTAAAAGCGGCATTCAGACTTGGCTTCTTTGTGAATATATACAGGGATTCTAAATCTCGTAGATCAATATCACCGGATGTGAAAGCTAGAATTTTATAATCATTATCAGATACAGAGGTGTTGCACTGCTCGGCATGAACACGTACAACAGAATGAGGAGGATGTGCAAGTAGGTTCTCCGTTCTATATTTCCTGCCCTTGTGCTCAGCCAGCCTAGTCTAGAAATTGCGTGGCGTCATACCGATGTACACTGTTTTTTCAATCGGCTCGTTTTCAGGTATGAGGATACCTTCCCTGTTATTATGCGATCGTCACTAGTTTACAGATATAGTTGAGCGCAGTGCGCATCAGCGTACGTCGGTATGACGTCACGCAATTTCTATACAAGGCTGGCTGAGCATAAGGGAAGGAGTTATAGAACGGGGAACCTATTTGCACATCCTCCTTATTCTGCTGTACGCGTTCATGATGAGCTTTGTAGCTGATAGTGATTTTAACGTTTTAGCTTCCACATCCGAAGTTACTGATCTACGAATTTTAGAATCCCTGTATATATTCAAACAGAAGCCTATAGTCTGAATGCCGCATTCAGCTTCTTTCCTCTTGAAATAGTAAATTTTTAGGCTCGTTTTACTAGCGTTCATATCATGTCTCGTTTACTTGTTTCCGTTTCAATACATAACAGTGGATTTTACTTTACTAATTGATTGTATTTTTGGTTCTAGGACTGAATTTTCTCCTGAACTGAACTTTATGTTATGAACTGACGATGGAGCTGGAGTCCGAAACGTTTTCTTTTCTAAAGAAATGGTAAATTTTTGTGGTATTGTCTTTGCTTTTGAATTCCCAGAAATTTACTTATAATAAAAAAACAATGAACAAAATAAACTAATAAATAAAAGGTGGATAGAATTAATTTGGCAGACAATATCAGTCAAATTCTGATACCTGTACAGTTTGTTGTGTAGGTTTGCTCGATCCAGTCCTTCTCAAATAATGTGTTCCTCATTATTTATTCATATAACGACAAACCGTTCTCAAACTGTTGTGACTGATAGACTTGCCACGCAGTAAGAAATATGAAGAAAAAAACAGAGTGGCAATACCAATGTGGAAATTCTGTGAAAAAATTACAGACTTAATTTGGCGTAACATTTAGTCGAATGAGTTCACATGGAAAATAAGTATCAATGACTAAATGCATTATTTATGGTGCAGGTGAGATGCAGAAAATAAGTTGACTTTTTAACATTCTTCGTCTATTTCGTAACTGTGAACAGGGAGCCTCTGATGCAGCCAACTAAATGTATGCGATGACCTCAGTTTGTGACCAAGGCGATTTCTGAATTATATGAAAAGCAGTTCCATACAGTTGGCATGAACATTGCCGCGAAGATAATTGATTTGAATATTATTATTAACGCTGAACTGGACAACAATGAATGATGTGGTGTTCTCATTTAACGAGTTTGTAGCGACCATGTATTTCCTCGAGTTACCCCCGCAAGTCATTTTCTACGAACGTTGGTGGATTTTAGCCATTATAGTTCAGGGCAGCTACCCGTTAATTGGTACTCGCTCTTTTTGACCATGCCATTTTATTTAAGATAATTACCTATAACCAAATGTAATCTAATTACGGTTAAATATAAGTTATCAATGCATTCCAAATATTAGCTCGGGCCTAGTGCTTTACAATATCAAGTAATCCTAGTTTGTCCGATCTATTTACGTGACTATCATAGCTTATGTAACCTGGTCGCACTTGCTATCATAGCCGCACTTGCTAGCATCCCCACGCCTTACAAGTTGAAGTCGTTGGAAGGGCCGGGAATTTAGAGCCAAGGGATATCTTTAGCCTATACAGTTTGAACGCTGTTTCACTTCATAGGCTATTTATTTTTGAGAAAATATAATTTAGATTGTGCCTTTTTTGCACGGAAAGGGAAAACAAACAAATAATGTGAAATTAAATTGAAGAAGAGCCTAAAAATTGACAGGCATAGTAATAATTTTTTTTTAAATTGAAAAATTTGATCATATTATTAATCTGGATCTGAGCCAGTTGGAGACTTTTTGAAGTGCCTCCCCATTTTACGTTTCCTTTAGGTTTTTCACAATTTATGTTTTCTCAAAGAATCATACGAACAAAACTAGTTTGTATCATTGTTTTACATGTGTGCATAATGTTTCAGAAAGATCTAACAATTAGTAAACGAGGTTTTTACCCAGACCCTCTCCTCAGCCTTAATTATACTCACATAAGTCGACAGGAGGAGACAGACGGAAATTACCAACTTGGCCTTCATGGTGACGGACGGACGTTATTGTTTAATTTTGAATGTGAACTGACACAAGACTTTTTAGTGATAAATAACTGTTGAAAAATACAATATTATTATTATCATTATAGGCTGCGTGAAAACTGAGCTTTAAAACCTATCTTGTAAAATTTGAGGAATAGATCGGACTTCTTCAATTAGGTCCATGGAGTTAATTTGTAGACCTTTTAAATGCAATAAAATGCATTTGGTAGTATCAATTAAAAAAATGAATATTCGCGACTATAGCAGGAGTCAGCTGTGTAAATGTGTAAAGGTAGAAGCACACACAATTCAATTATTTAAGTTGTTCATATACATTCACAACTGATTAATAGACTGTTTTTACGACTACAGCCCATCTTAATTAACGGGCCACTTTCGTCTGCTATTTTAGTGCTCGTGATATGAGATTCAATTATTTGATAGTATTGCCAGTTCTGTCTCGTCCATCTCCTTCTTGGATTTGGCAGTCAACTGACCCCGAGTTCCTAAACTCGTGTCATTGTACCGGATCTTTTCAGGACTGACGATAGTTTGAAATAGCTACTATAGACTTCCACCGGGTTCGAAATTGTACCGCGCAATAATCAACCCACCAAAATGCAAACAAGTCTGAATGTTAATTAACACCGCACTTAACACCAATGCACAACAAAAAAACAGGCTCCAAAAGCGCGTACAAACGCGTACAAAAAAGTCAGCACTAGCCAATTTACACGAAACACGCGTCATAAATCTACCACAGAGACAGTAAATATGTAATGTTTCGCGATGTGACCCAAAACTTAGACAAGAAATGGTATAGCGGACTTGTATACAATATTATACAACAAAACCAGAACTGGTTTTTTACACAAACTCTGTCTTACAGACACAACTGCATCCCTCAGAATAGGCAGTGTCGTAGGTCCTCCTGTCCAAGTGCACGCATTTCTCCAATTGGCTTGCTTCTCACCCGCCCAAAGGACAAAGCCATTACGGATTCACACAAAATATACAGGCATTATCATCTAGAGCCAAGCATCAAAGTCACCTATTCATAGTTTTTATAGAATCAACCTCATACACCCTACCAAAACCTCTCAATACCGTCAAACGGGATAATAAGGGACGGGCGGGGTAAAAGTTATGTTTTTTACAATCTTCAATTAAATTGGTGTGAAATTACCAGTCGACATGTAAGCTTACAGATAAAGAAGAAATGCTATACGGCTGCTGATACGAAGCTTTCAGTGGACAAGGTCGTTGTAAATGCTAAATGGCATGTCCATGGATAAGTCAATATCACATTAATAATACGGTAATGAATGGATATGGTAATTTCATATCAATAAAGTAAAAACAAGTAAAAATCACAAAAAATTTCATTTGTTCTACATCAACATCATCTAGAAAGGAAGAGGAGGAATTCAGAGTACTGTTATAGTAATGGACGAGTACGCTTTACATACTCCAAACGTTTAAAAATTAAGTTTTATTTCAGGTGTCCCGGATTACCCCGTTCCTAGGGTAATTCGGGACGCTTCGATTTTGCGTCTGGCACCTTACGAATAGCAAATGGAATTTTTTTCGAATATACCATACGATAGCACTCGCAAAGACCTTTAAAATGAGCCCAAACTTGCTTATGAAATGTTTCATGGTGAGAAGTTTGTAACGAAAAACGTTCGAAACCGTCCCTTATTACCCCGTTTGACGGTACTGGATCAAAATCATTTGTATCTTAATTTAGAAAAAATCGAGAAAAGTATTGCGCTTCATCATAGATACACATTTCATACGCTCACAAATGTTACGCGTACAATCACACGTATCATCATAAACACAATTATCCACTAGCGAACATTTATCCCCCATCTGTTTAACTAACTGAGCTCCTCGGCGAACACCGTCACAAAATATTACAAGACATTCAAAAGCTCCGAACTACTCGCATTATGTCCTCTGCTTCCACCTTAGTACACATATTCACCAACCTCCACACACTCTCTCCACCTTCATACAAAGCTCACTATTCCTTGGCAGAATTTGCGATTGCGTTTCTAAGTGCAGTTAGTCAATGTAAAAATGACGCAATTGACTTCCACCACATTTCATACGCATTCACCATCCTCAACATAACCTACAGGCCTGCTGCACCTGGACCTCAGTTTCCTTAATAAATCAATGTGCAGCTACCCTGACGATGGACGTAGCTTTCAGACAGAGTGGCGCTCGGTGTAGACGATAAACGATTAACTTGATCACAAATTTAATATCCCCTCCTATCTATCCTCTAGAGTCTAGAGCACCGTGAGATTCATCACTCAATATCATATTCATCATCACCGTTACCGTACGCATCATTTGCATTCATCAAACATTATAAAATTTAAATAAGTTTAAAAATGAGCCTGTCACCGACATCTCACTCGTACGTAAAACCCATCAAAGCCCCGACGAGTTTCTTCCTTCACTTCCTACCACACCATATTTTCAGGTATCTCCCTAATGCATAGAAATGCGCCTACCTTGGTTCCAATCTACCATTTTGTTTTCTCCTTCCTCTCTCTGGCCACACTTTGTCACTTTTTGTTCTTTCCCACTTCAAAGGCACCGCAACATACACTAATTTATGGCTACACCAAATTCGGAAGAATATTCCCCGATGTCCCGGGGATTTAGAAATAATTTTAAGAACCTTCAACACTCGGACACTTGACTACGTTGGGCTTGACCTAGTGGCGGCCACTGCTTGCGTCCCACCACGAATGTGCCGACCAGCAGAATGGGGCGGCGGTGCGTCGTCCACCGCCGGTAAGAGCAAGAGCCTTGCATCCAAGTAACTGTGATTGGTCACAGCTGTGATTGGTTGTGATGTCATCCTCCCCAGACTGTGATTGGCTATGGGATTGTGATTTTATCCCATTCAGACTGTGATTGGTTGTGTGATTGCCTTTCCAATATGCTGTGTGTTTTGGTTAATCCAATGCCCCTACAGAATTCTACACTGAGTCCAGGTTTACATTCATTTAACTGTCCGCGTTAACAGTTTTTCATTTGTCTATGTTTAAATCCTTTCGCTAGGTTACGTTTACATTTTTTATCAGTCCACAATTATTTTGTTCATGAGTCTATACATTTACAGTTTTACTATATACCTTATTTTCCGTTTTGAATTAATCCACATTAAAATTTGGCATCAGTCTACGTTTACATTTTTTATCAGTTCAACTTAACAGTTCTTTCCAGTCCATGTTAACATTTTACAATCGGTTCAAATTTTTATTTTACATCAGTCTACTATAAATCTTTCATCAGTACACATTTACACTCTGCATCAGTCTACTATACAGTTTTCATCTGACCACATTTACACTCTGCATCAGTCCACTAAACAGTTTTCACCAGACCACATTTACACTCTGCATCAGTCCACTATACAGTTTTCATCAGACCACATTTACACTCTGCATCAGTCTACTAAACAGTTTTCACCAGACCACATTTACACTCTGCATCAGTCTACTAAACAGTTTTCACCAGACCACATTAACACTCTGCATCAGTCCACTATACAGTTTTCATCAGACCACATTTACACTCTGCATCAGTCTACTAAACAGTTTTCACCAGACCACATTTACACTCTGCATCAGTCTACTAAACAGTTTTCACCAGACCACATTAACANCGTCGACATAAACAAGAACATTTGAATACCAGTGAGTGAGTACCACTTACTCGTCGACATAGACAAGAACCTTTGAATACCAGTGAGTGAGTACCACTTACTCGTCGTCAGAGTAAATCTAAGCCACTCGATCGTTCAAATTTATCATTCATTTATAGTTACATGAAAAAATTACTCAACATGCTCTGTAAATTAAACAGTGCAGAAAAAAGATAAACGACATTAAAAGTGAGCGGGAAATTATCCAATTTATTCAGACCGAAATCTAACTAAATAAAAGTTCGCATGATAGCAATATAATTGATGCTGAGCCATCAAGATTCTCTTGTAACGATTGCCGTGTTTTGCTTCCATGAATCATGCACAGAAGAGGTTCCTTTCATCTAAAGAGGTTCCTTGTTATCACGGCCAAGAATGAAAAATATATATAACGCAGTACTCACTGCAGTGAGTGAAAGAGAGCGCATCTTCTCGTCGACGAAATCGTGAAGTCACGGACGGACAGACAGACAGACGGACGGACGGACAGACATGGCGAGCACAATAGTGCATTTTTTCCATAAATGAGAAAATGCGCTAAAAATGACTCGCTCATTAGGTTTAAGTGAAAATGAAGTCATTTAACTTTAATTTCATTAAATTGTTTTGTTTTTCAACCTTAAAATCATTGAAATCATAACGAGTGCACCGTGAAGGCATTGCCCAGGATGACGACATCCTATAGCCGCTCGCGTCACCCCGACCGCCCCAAATGAGTTCACATCGAATGACTGCGACATAACGCGCTCTTGTCGCTGTAACTTTGCCAAGAGTGAACAAAGTTACCCCAAATCTTTTTTTTACTTTATAAGAGTTCTTGCAATGTTAAATCTAATTTTGTTTGGGTATCTCATTCCGTAATTATATAGAACAATGCCTCAACAATTTCTGAGAACTTCTATCTTGATAGTACAAACTAGTACGCTTCAATAATTTCACAATTACAAATATTTGATTATTGTCCTAAATCCATGAACATTGTTTACATGATATAAAGGTCGGGAAGTTCGTATTGATCTGCACTCCGTCGACGGTTTGGAGGGTTGTTTGCAACGTCTCGTACACATCTATTGTTTGGCAGGGCAGGAGCAAGTGGGTGTCGCGTTTCGGCACCTCAATGACGGTGTCGTTGTAGCCCAGCATCGAGTCTGTCAAAGTCACCTCAAAGCCCCTGATGAGATTGCATGGATCGCCTGCAATAGTAAAATTTTCCATCTAAAATGCCTTTACATTTCTGAAAAAGCGAACATGAAAATTTTCATTTAGATATTGAATCCCAAAATAAAGAGGCCAAGTTATCTTGCCGTACCTATATCCTGAATATGATTGCCATTTGTGTTTACATCCTGTGTTTTACTTAAGAAGAATAAGTGACAGCAAATATTTGGGAAATAACTCACCTTAGATCATAATCCAATTCTTACATAAAATAAGGAAGAGTTATAAAAAATATTTTGAATAAACATAGCAACTGTGCAAAGGCCTTTAATTATCGCTCACGGCTCCTACTGAATTCTCACATATAATTTCAATTCATACTCAGGATTCCAATCGAATTCCACAGCAGCTGACTTTTATTCTTGACCTGAGTTTTAGCATAAATATTACCACGCTTTACTTAGAATTTAAAATGATACAAATGAATCAATTGATTGAAACTTTAAATCAGTTATTGCTTTTGCAAAAATTTTCAAGATGAGTAAGTATTTCTCATATTTTATAAAGGAGATTAGTTCCAAAATTAAAGGACACAGAGTATATTTATCATGGGCTGGTCATAATTGTGGCAGCATTACTCGTAAATCAATCAATTAGGCTAAGAAGCGATCACGAATGCAAATTTCCGCTATCCACTCATGATTCCGCACCATAAATTTTACGTCACGTCGCTGGTTAACGTGCATCGTCTTACTCTGAATCACGCCGGCGAATGACAAGTCGCCTCCGGACGAATTAAGCGTGATGTGGTAGGTGAGTGCTGAAGGGTTGATTACCGGGGCCGGTAATTCTGGGCACAAATTTCACGGATTAGAACTTATCTAAAGTAAATGAGTCTAAATAGTTCCTAGAAAATCTCTCCTCAATTCGCTGAAACTCGAAGTAATGGACAAGCATTATTAATGAGATTCTTGACAAAAATCATTCACAATAACTTTGCGTTTTCTTTTCACCTCCCACTGGGATTTGGTACAAGCTGCTGGGCCCCCAAGGCTGCCCCATGAAGAGGCGGGTGAGCACGAAGGTTAAGTTTGGACAAGACCCAGTCACTTCTGTCGCCACCGCATCCCCACTCGACACAACCTTCGCTTGGCCGTCAAACTCGAGCTGGTACGTGATGAAGCACCGTCTTTTGCTCTGGTTGTTGAAGGTGACGTTGAAAATCACTTGCGAGTTGTTGTACGTTGCGCCGACGCTCAAGTTCGACACGTTAGGCTCTGTTGGTTGACAAAACTGTGTTAATTCGAGGTCAATAAATTGGTTTAACATATATTTCACTTTCCAATTGAATTTAAATTCCGGTTAACTTTTTCATACGATTCCCCCATCTGACCAGCAGGTGCCACCAGCTGTTTGGCGACGTAGATGACGTGGTCCCCCCCAGAGGTGCATGGCGCCCCTACGGGCCAAAGCACGCGGGTGCCCCAACACGCACCGTCACGGAGAGCAAAGGTCGTGTGGTCTGAAATGATGACTGTACTGCAATATTGGGTAGGCGGTTACCATTATTTTATTGTCATCACCTTTGGTCTGTATAGTTAGTATATGCATCATATAGTATACGATGCATAGTTTGCAAAGAGGTATAAGGCTATTAAAGAATTGTATAACACACGAGAATTGAACTAATCGAAGGCTCATCATTCACATCAATTAAAACTATTTAATGCAGCACTGACTGGTCTTGGCGGCCTGCTCCGCACAGGAGCGCAGGTCGGCCGCAGGCTTGAGCTTCTCCTCCAGGGTCTTCAGGCAGTCGTTGGTTGCGGCGGTGATGGCGCGACGCGTGTAAGTGACGCCTGACTTCGTCGCCAGGGACCGAAAGTTGACGTTGACGGACCGCGACGCGCAGGACGACATGCCAGACTTGGAGCCGTGATACTTGACCTGTTTGAGGTAATACTTGTTGTTATTTATTGAGAATAAGTTAATAAATGTTATTTTTTAAATGGCGTTTAAACAAAGAAAAGGCGTGTTCTTATGTAGATAATGCAGAGGATTCATATCACAGTTTTTAAACAACAACCCAGCAAAATGTTCACACTCACCGCGACAGTGTACTCATCAGCGCAGGTTCCCTGCAGAAGATCAAATTACCATGTTAAAAGATGGATA